TATCCAAATGCCATACACATAGAATTATTGGACAACCTTTCAATTTTGTCAATTTAGAGCTAATTCTACCTGGAATTAAAACCTACATTTCTCTTCTGTTTTTCTTTTATGAAACAAAGTAGAATGTCAGCTAATATTCAAAGCAGAATGAGTAAAGTATTTTTAATTAAAAAGTAAATATGTAAGTATGTTTCTCTAAAACCTTATTAAGTCATTTTACTTGAGACATGTTGTACCTTGAAAGATCAACCTGGAGGAGTGATTAGACTTTTTAACTGTACATTAGTGAAACATTAGAAAAAAAAAACACAAACATTCAGAGGCCTGAGAATGTGACTGAGTGGTAGAGTGGCTCCTTGTAAGTGTAAGACCCTGGGTTGGATCCCCAGCATCACCTCACATTGCAGAGTGTGGCAAGGTTGGCACTGTGATCCTCAGGGCTTTAGCAAAGCATTTCAGCCAAGTGTGTGAGCACCACAACTACTGTGTGACCATCCCTCCCACCCCGCCCGGCCATGAGCACTACACCTAAGTCAAACAGTGGAAGCACATGTGCAAACTTGGCAACAAATGTGGCTAATGTGGCTAAACCATCCTATTTTGTATAACTTTTAAGATAACTAATGGATGAATCAATAAATGCTAGTGCATTTGTACATTTTGGGACACCTCAGTAAACTCAAAGATTATTTAGTATTTTTTTCCTTTCAGGTCACACCGGCTGTGCTTAGGGCTTCTGCTCTCAGGAATTTCTCCTGGAGCTGCCTGGGGGTCCATATGGGATGCTGGGGATCGAATCTGGGTTGGCCACATGCAAGGCAAGATGCTGTCTCTCCGGCCCCTATTTTTGCAATTTTAAGAGACAAAATAGGTGGAATTATAACTGTTCATCAAAGAACTATAGGGGAATATAGAGTATTTTAATATTTTTTGAAGCCAGTTTCTCTGGATGTAAATAAATTCCAACAAAATTGTGCTTTATTACTGATGTCCTAATTTGGATGAGAACATGCTAGATCTTGGAAAGGATCAAAGACAGAATAAGCTTATAGACACATAAAAATGAAATGAGCTGACACTATTATTATCTCATTTTGTTTCCAGAGTTTTCAATACTCAAGACCAGAGTCAATTCTTAGTGCTGAAGATTTGGTGGTGGTGTGGTCATCCATCAGTCACTTCCCTAACAGCTACAGCAGAGCTGTATTACAGAACAAAGAGCAGTTCACTGAAGAAATTACATGTTTGCAGATGATATTTCAGTCTAATTCCACAAGTGGTGGAAGTCGTTATTGAATTCACTTAAAGATTATTTTGAAGTGGCAATCTATTTTAATGCAGTTGTTTCTTCTGCAGAGGAAAAAATATTTTTGCCACACCCAAAACATTTTTTGTTTGCTTTTGTTTGTGGGCCATATCTGGTGCTACTCAGTGCTCAAGGCTTTCTCCTAGCTCTGCATCAGGGATCAGTCCTTATAAACAAAATTCTTGATAGATTGGTTTTTTTTGTAAGTTATTTTTTTGAAATGTGAAAGCAAAAAAATACTGCTTTCTATTAAAAAAAGAGGTTCTAGGTGGAATGCACTACTCTGAATTTTAAATTAAAATTGTTTCTGGGGGGGTGAGTCGGGGTGGTGGTATTCGGCCACACCTAGAGGTGCTCAAGGCTTACTCCTGGCTCGACACTCAGAAATCACTCCTTGGAGACTCTGGCAGTCATATAGGATACTGGTAATTGAACTTAGGTCCGCTTCAGGCAAGGCAAGCATCTTACCAATTCTATTCTTTCTCTGGTTTCAAGAATTTTAAATTTAGTAGTTTCATATACTTGCTTTCTAATTAAAAGTATGATCCTGAGACAGGATGAACAGATTAAACTATTAGGCTTGAATAGTATTGAAATCAAAATCTATCAAAATCTATTCTTTTTTTTTAAAGAAGAAGCATTGTATCGTAGTGAAATATCATTGTATTATTGTATCATAGTAAAATCATAGTGAAAGAAATAATTACTAAAAAAAGGAACTACAAGTAAAAGTATATATGAAACATTTTCTAACCTAGGTATACTTTAAAAAGGAAAGGAAAAAAAGGAGTAATAATAAAGAAGATATATGTTTGCTTAAAGATATGAAAGTTTGAAATGTGAAAAACACAAAGTATACAAGCAAACTGCAAAGCACAAGAAAGCACATGATAGGGGCTGGAGCAATAGCACATTGGGTAGGGTGTTTGTCTTGTGCATGGCTGACCCGGGTTCGATTCCCAGCATCCCATATGGTTCCCCGCACACCACGAGGAGTAATTCCTGAGTGCAGAGCCAGGAGTAACCCCTGTGCAACACTGGGTGTGACCCCCCCCCCACAAAAAAGAACATGATATAAAATTAAATTAGAAAAACAGTTATTATTCTTATATGTTTAAAGTCTTAGGAATAAATAAGAAAGGACTGCTTTATTACAACATGGGCAAAATAGCACAAATGCACCCTCCGTTGAACTCCCAGCCTGGCTGGCTAAGAATAGCCAAGGGGGCCTATGTGGATCTGATACTGCTTGCAGACCCGTTGCCAAAAAAAGCACAAATGCAAACCGGCAAATTTCAGTAAAAATGCAAATCATTCAATCTCATTAGTAAGATAAATATAAATTTTACAGAATGAAGCTCTATTTAGAACAATTAAAGACATTTCAAATGATAGTATTTATGGTTTTCTGGAGTATAAGCTATCCGTCAGACACTGTGGAGTTTAATTTGGCACTTCCTTTATGGAATGCTCTTGGCAGAGTTTATCATAAGACATAAAATGTGAATATCTCAGCCTCTTTATCAGGAAATGACCAAAAGCGTTTGCAAAACTTTTAAATAAGTATGGGCATAACATCATTCAAAGCAAAACAAACAACAACAACAAAAACCCAAGAGACTAATATGCTTGTTAATTTTAAAAATTATACATATCTTGGGATTGGTGCGATAGCACAGTGGGTAGGGCCTTTGCCTTGCACATGGCTGACCCGGGTTTGATTCCCAGCATCCCATATGGTCCCCTGAGCACCACCAGGAGTATTTCCTGAATGCAGAGCCAGGAGTAACCCCTGTGCATTGCTGGGTGTGACCCAAAAAGAAAAAAAAAATACATTTCTACTGAATACCTACTAGGTATGGAAACCAATGTTAAGTGCTCAAATTCACCTATAAAATCATAAATTGTCATGCTACCATTGAAAAAGTCGTGTTGTGGGAAACATAGAAATTGTGCAAGCTTTGTATGCAGTCAACCCTGGGCTGCGTGTCCCCATCCTCTGACTTCCCATCCTTTCTGGATAGTCCTTGGCATGATCTGATCAGGCTCTTGCACAGAACTCCTAGCTGTTTGGGTTCAGCTGCTGGCTAGGGGCACCTGGACTCCTGAACACTGCTGAACACTGCTTGGAACTGTGGCCCAGCACCCCCTCCCCTCCCCCCAAAAAACCCCCAAAAAACAAAAAAAAATGCTTTTAAGAAGTAATAATATGGGAAAGTGTGTATAATGAAACATATGAGGAAACAGGAGAGCCTTCAAACTGCATGTAAAGATGATCCAAGGGACTTATAGAAGGTGCAGCAGTGACTGTGGAGTTCTGAGTAATGGCCCCGCAGGCAAGTGCACTTCTGCTCCTTGCATTTCACCAGCCAAAATACTCTCCAAAATAATTTAATCTCTTAAAAATATCAACGCATGTGAAGGACTATATATTTATGTCTACTTAAGTTAAATAGTTACAATGAGCTTAAGTTGACTCACAAATATTTTTCACAAAACATGTTGGGCCTGGCATGTGGTTCAGTACTAGAACTGTTCCATGTATAAGACTCTGGGCTCCATCCTCAGCATTGAAAACAAACAAATGGGAAAAAACAAAACTCTCCCAAATAAATGCATGTTGCCATGTTCCATTTCGGGTCCTAAGGGTACTGTTCTTTCTGAGAAATAAATTGAGAAAATAACCTGACATGCAAGGAGTTGGGGGATGGATATGGAGAAAGGGAATGATCATGTGTATGTCCTTTTTTCCCCTGAGAAGAGGTGCTACCCCCTGTGTGTGTGTGTGTGTGTGTGTGTGTGTGTGTGTGTGTGTGTGTGTTTTCGGTTGTGTGTACTTGTGGAGAGAGAAGAGAATACTGTTTCTGTACAGTCATGCAAGAAGTGGGAGGCAAATGAACACATAAATTTGACCATCTCTGAAGCCATCATGCTTAAACAACTGAACTCAGGAAGCATCAAAGACCAGAAATGCAGACCACTTTGCTCACAAGGCACAGCATCACTGATACACAAGTCAGGGGAATCAATGACCAGTGTCCGCATAAAAAAGTCTGTACCCAGAATTCTGGGTGATGTCCATGACTAAAGAGGACTTGAACCTGGGTGCCTCACATTTGCAGAAACACACCAGCACCCGAATTGAAATCTTAATTTTAATAGATGGATTTATAATTGTCTGATGTCTAAAACCTCTTTACACAGGCTTCAGGGCTCATTTGCTAATTTGGGAATTGCTCAACATCACTAAATTTCCTACTGGCAGAATGCTAAGGAAAATAGGATTATACAGGCGTTTGTGTACTTACCCCTTTAGTCAGTGAAATTTCTAAAATTTCCAGTTTGCAAATTTTAGAGTAAAATCACTCCTCCATAAATTCAAATATAAAATGGCAAATGTTGGGAGTTCATCTCTAGTATGTGTATGTGAACACTTGATACTGTCTGCACACAGTTAGTTAGGTGGGGTCGCAAGCACCCAGGGCATTTCTGTACGAGGCAGATAATAATGATGCCCAGGCACTCATTTAAAGCTGCTCAGCTGCACAACAGCCATGAAGAAACATCGTCCCCAAGCCAGTTCCTGTAGACCGAGGATCTGCCCATCCCCAGCCCCTAGGTAGATTGAGTGGCCTTTGAGCATGTGTGTGGCGCAGCTCCTACCAGGAAGGCGGGGAAGATTCCGGTCACTTACAATGACTGATGAGCTCCAGGGAGGGCAGGAAGTACTCGTCACAGACAATGGATACCGCCAGGAACATGTAGAAGATGATTAGGAAGTAGATTATGATGCCCCCATCCATTCGCTCCTGTTTTGTGAAAAACCCTTCAGGAAACTCAGACGAAGGAGAAGTAGCACACTGGGTGCCGTTTTCTGGGGAGGGAAAGGAGGTGAAAGTTTGAAGGAAATTGGTGTTAGATTCTAATGTCGCTAAGATAATTTCATCATTTCTTAAGTTGACTCTAGGGGCAGGGATGTAAATGGAATTTGAAGAGCCCAAGTGAAAATGTCAAAAGCCCCTTGGAAAATGATGTAGTCCTTAAGAAAGTTTCTTGGGGACACAAAGTAAGTGATGAGAGTGGAAAGTCTTCAGAGCGGACATCATGTAAACACTCCTTCCTCACTGTCCTCTTATCTAAAAAGATAATTCTGAATTTCTCTTTCTATCTGGACAATTTCATATGCACCCACTTAAATGCCCCAAATTGTTCATGGACCGAATCATCAGCTTTTGCAGAGAGAATTTCTGGGAAGTTTCCTAGCTTGAGTCTCCAACAATGAAAAGGAGCCTGCTGGAGCTCATGAGATCTTCCGATGATCTCTGAGAACTTATTCCAGGGATCAGAAAGGGCTGACACCCTTCCAAAGACTAGAAATCAGAGCAAACAGAGCAGGAAGTATAAGCCCTTTGTGCCGCCATCCAGATCTGGGAGTGGCTGCCCTACCGGCTGCCAACCCAGCATCCACCTACCTGTGGCCCTCGGGAGACGCCGGGGCAGGGAGGCGCCCTGGGGAGGCAGGTGCGCAGTGGCCCAGAGGATGCCAAGAAGCAGGGCCCTTCTCGTCCACGTTGGGCCCCCTTGCTTCTGCATTTCTGTTGTGCTGGGAGTGTAGCCTGCCTGCGCTGCAGGAAGGGAGAAAAGAAGGATTAAGCTAGATCATGTGAGGCGTCTCCTTCCTGCCCAATACGCTGCCCAGGGCAAAATTCAGCCTGGTCAGTGCAGGAGAGAGGTTGTTTGTGCCAGGCGGACTTCTCAGAACAGAATCTCGGGAGTCCGTAGGAGCAGGCAAGCCTTGGCAGCAGTTGCTCTCTGCAGGATAGGGCAGCTCCAGGTTCTTTGCATTTTTTTAGTTTAGTCTTAATACTAGCTCGGTTTTAGCTTGTCTCTAGATTTCTAAGGGCCTGTGACTGCTTCCCTTTCTCTCTCCAGCTCTTCAAGAAGTTGTTGAAGCTGATATATGTATAATCTTTGCCTAACCTGGCACCCTTTTATGTTTGCTTTGGTTTTTGGTTTGGGGGATTACTCCCTGTTCAGTGCTCAGAGGATGCTCCTGGCAGTGCTAGGGGATTGTATATGTCAAGGATCAAATCCAGGTATCCTGCATACATTCTGGTCTATTGAATTCTTTCTGTAGTCTTGGATATTTTTGTCTACTTTTCAGAGGCAGGAAGTTGCTACTGTGATAATCCAGCAGAGAAAATAGTGGGAGCTTGAACCAAAGTAGTTGCATTGGGAACAGAAAGAAAGAAGGCAAAGTTTTCCAGATCTGGAAAGGAAACAGTGGATACTATTTGACTTTTAACTAGCTGTGCTTTCTGCTTGAGTTTACTATCTAAGATGGAAAGTTGGCAAGTCAAGAAATACATTGAAACTATCTTCTCTACCTTAGCATTTGCTGAGCTTGTTGAAATGCAAGTAAAATCAAAACCTCAAAATGTAAGATCACCCTCAGTAAGCAAGGTAGCGACGATTGGCTAATACAGGCTTTAGAGCCAGACCTTGTGATCTGATTGTTATTTCGCCTTACTACTTGCTATCTATGTCTTTTTGGCCAACTTTTTTCAACCCTCTGCTCCTCAGTTCTACTCTTTTGGTTTTTTGGACCACACCCAGAGATGCACAGAACTTAATCCTGGCTCTAAATTCAGAGTTTACTTTTGGTGGTTCACAGGGGACCATTGGTGGGATTGGCTGCATGCAAGGCAAGCTCTAAAGCACCATATCCACTATACTGTCGCTCCAGCCCCTTTACACGCATCTCTTAATAAAACATCTCATGCATTCATACTGGTGCTTTTCCTTTAAGGGTCTTAGTTCTCAAGAATGCAGGGGATTATAAGATTAAAGTAGCCAGTGTTCTATAGTGACTCATTTGTTTTCTCTATGTTTATATGTAAAGGTCTCAAAAGTATAATCTTGTTGCTGTTACTACTACTACTACAAATACAGCTAATGAGAAAAGTTAAAAGCTGCACTGTCCTAAGAGCTAGAGTGTATCTTCATTGCTTTGACATAAGACAACACATGACAATTTTTTCACCTTTTATCCTCATAACTACATATCCAGTTATTGCCATTATTATTATTTTTTAAATATTTATTATGGGCTGGAGCGATAGCACAGCAGGTAAGGCGTTTGCCTTGCATGCGGCTGACCTGGGTTTGAGTCCTCCATCCCTCTCAGAGATCCCGGCAAGCTATGGAGAGTATCCCGCCCGCACGGCAGAGACTGGCAAACTCCCCGTGGTGTATTTGATAAGCCAAAAACAGTAACAACAAGTCTCACAATGGAGGTGTTACTGGTGCCTGCTTGAGCAAATCAATGAACAACAGGAGGACAGTGCTGCAGTGCTACATTATTTTTGCCATGCTCAAAACCAGGGCCCCACACCTGAAATGCAAGTTCTCTACTGCTGAGTTACTTTCATGTTCATTGCCACTCTTAGTTTGATGTCTCTTTAGATATTGTATTACTTGAAACTTATTTCCTAGTAGATTTCTTTAAAGGGCTAACGGGAATGATAGTTCTTGAGTTCTTTTATATTGCTAAAAATTTGTCAATAGTTTTTATATTTGAAAGTTTAGCTTTGCTAGATATAAAAACTTGGACTCACACGATTTCTCTTGAGATACCTAAGTGTAAATATGTCACTCCGTGAGGGACTGGGGATGACGCAGTGGCAAGGGTGTGAGCCTTGTACTCCTGAAACTGGTTAGACCACAGGTTTGATCTCGTGCTTTGCTCCACATGTGCTATGTAGAACCCACCTAGCCAAAAACATAGCTGTGCTGTGTGGGATCCCTGGAGAACACCAGTTGCTGCAACACACATCAATAAACAATTAAAAAGGCTATTCTATTTTCTTCTGGAAAAGGCATTGCTATAAACAAGCAAATGTCATCATTTTCTTCTTCTGTGTCCTTGCTTCCCCCCACCCAGATACGAAGAGTTTTAATTTTTCCTTAGCATCTAATAATTTTACTATAATATATCCTAGTGCTAATCTGTCTAGGTCAATATTCTTAGGTACAAAGCTGGAGCGATAGCACAGCGGGTAGGGCATTCGCCTTACAAGCGGCCAACATGGCCGACCCAAGTTCGATTCCTCCGCCCCTCTCGGAGAGCCCGGCAAGCTACCGAGAGTATTCGATATGCCAGACACAGTAACAACAAAGTCTCCAACGGAGACGTTACTGGGCCCGCTCGAGCAAATCGACGATCAACGGGAGGGCCTTTACCTTTACCTTTACCTTTAATATGCAGTTTCAAATATATCTTTTAATTTAGTTTTGGCTCACACCGGCAGTTCTCAGGGCTTGCTCCTGTCTCTATATTCAGGCACCACCCCGGTCAAGATTTAGGGGACCATCTTGGATGTCAAGGATCAAAACCAGGTCAGCCACATGCAAGACAAACATCCTACCCAATGTACTTTTACTTCGGCACCAAATCATTTTATTTCAGAAAATTTTTTATTGAATCGCAAGTTTTGGTATACATTTTTTATTCCTTTTCTTATATTTATTCTTACAACAGACTTCTACTATTTCTATGTTGACTGTTCCTTGGGTATCTTCCACAGTGTTATTTGATTATAAATTTATTCTTTTAAAAGTTTCTTCATTTCCTTTTGATTAAAATTTTTTTGTATTTTCCATTCTAGTTTTCTTAAACTGTTGTCTGTGGTGTCTATTGATATTATGTTACTTCTAGTTTCAGAGTAATTTTTCCAATATTTTTTCTTTTCTGTCTAACTCTTTCACAATAGCTACCACTTCATTTCGTTTTCCAATCCTCCTATGTGCTGTTCTGCATATCTTGTTAGGATTTCCTTCAACCCTTCTAGGATTCTGGAATTTGGAATTTGTTCTACTGTGTGGGATGTCTTTTTGTCACACTCTCATAGTCAGAAGGGGACATTTTCTTCTCCTTAATATCTTTTATTCTTAGGTTTACTTTCAGTGGGATTTGACCTCTACACTCTATGTTTCTGTGTTGGTCACATGCAAAGAAAGCACGACCAACTGAACTATCACTTCAGCCCATTACCTGCTGTCCTTAAATGGTCTTGTGATACTTCAGTGGTTGTCTTTTGCTACCTAATCTCATCTCATTTTGTTCAGGTTCTCTGTGCCTTTCCTGTGCTTCCTCCTGTATAATAGATGCTATAATGTATGCTTGGTGTTACCATTGTGGTTTGTCCTCGCTTGTTTGTATTTGGGTTTTTTGGTGAAGAAACATTGGCACAATTTTATTTTAATTTGTTGTTAATGGGCCTTTGACTTTGTTCTGATTGCTTTGCCTCTTTCTATAAAGAGATTTGAAAAGATTGGAAATCACGTCCTGGCTCTTTCCACCTTGAAAAGCATTTTTATTTTTAATGACAGGGCTCTGTGATTGCATCTTTTAAACTAGAAAGTTCTTTTAGCACCAGAAACATATGGCTTATTTTACAAAGATTCTATTTACATGTAAACAGTGGGAGCCTCATCTATTATGTAAAGTCCTATACAGCTAAATTGTTAAATAGGTTTGTGCTGAGACCAAACCAGACCAAACTATGAGCCTATTGTATATCTGATCTTGGGAAGAAAAAAAAATCACTCCACCTCTTAAGGTCTCCTTGTTCTGATTTGCAAAATTAATATGTTATGTTCAATATGATAAAGATATAGTCTTCCATCTTATTAACACTTGCTAATATTAGTCGTTATCAAACTCTTGTGTGGTGCTTTGTACTCAGAATGGAGATCTAAATAAATAAAGAAAACCTAGAACAGTTATCTCTCAAAATAGTCAAATACAGTAACTCATTAAAATCAATACAGAGGTGACTGTTGATCTGTGATCAAGTTATATCGGTGGTAAATATTTTCCTTTTTTTCAGGGTGGGGTATAGCCATCAGTGATTAGAATTTTCTGCTGACATGTGCTCAGGGATCACTCCTGGCAGTGATCAGAGGACCAGATATGGTGCCAGTGCAAGCACTTTAAGCCCCATACTATCTTGCTGGCCTCTGTGGTAGTTTTCCCTTTTAAAGGAAAACAATCCATCAGAATGGTCTTCAGTTCTCCAACTATCATGAACTGATTTCGGGTCAAAATTGTTGTCCAAGATTTCTGAACCTCTGATGAGTTTACTACCACTGATATGCTTGAGAATCAAGATGAACAGTTACCAGTGTACTAAACAGGAGATGTTCATATGCCTCATTCAGTACAGTTCTCCCAGGCCCTATAGGATATTGGAGTAGTTCTTACTGGATAGTCAATAGAAGTACCTCACCGAGACATGACTGATGGATTGGCTCTTACCCAGACTAGCTGAATCAAAATGAATGCAGCTGGCTCAAGCAGGGGCATTTAAATCCCGCAGATGATTCTAAGAGGATTGAGAACCTTTGGAGTGGATCTTGCTATTCCTACTTTAAAGGCATTAAAGATGCCAGGTCAAGTCAAATGCCTAAGATCTATGGTAACATAGTTCCCGACTAAGTCTCTGAGCCAGGATATAACTCAAAATCTGTCCAGTGCCAAAGTGCCTAAAAGTTCTTAATGGCTAACTTGAGCCAAGTCCTCAGACTATTTC